TTTTTTTTTTTTTTTTTTTTTTTTTTTTAAATCAGGACAGGAAGAAGATATTGGAAAATCATCAAATTAGTCCTCTTAGCTCCAAATGAAATTAAGAACAAAACTGTTGGTTTCTAATAGGGAACAAACCAAAATCCAAGCATCACTCTCCCGCCCTAGCCCGGCCCACCCCACACACCAACAGGAGAGACAGCTACAGCCCGACGTGGGAGCTGGGCCCACCCAGGCTCTGCGGTGGCCTCTTCGGTCCAGTGGGACGCAGGGCCAGGGTGCCGCGGGCTGTAGTAGGACTCTGCAGGGCTGGAGGGGGTGGGGCTCAGAATCTTCTTGAGGCTCCTCTGTCAGCTCTCACCCGCGTCTTCCCAGCGCCTCTCCCTGGGCCAGGGCTCCCACCAAGAGCGGCCCCTACTCAGTCGTGGGCTGAAGGCTATCCTTCTCTTCTCGGTTCTCTGTCCCACTCTCGTCGTCTTCGATCTCCCCTTCCTCCCCACTGAACTTGTCATGGGCCCATTTGGGGCTGGTGCTAGATTTCCGGAACATGAATCGGCCTCGACCCCGGGGAAAGGCGCCTCGGCCCCGGCCCCGGCTCACCCACTTGTCACTGCCTTCGCCTTCGCGGTCATCGTGCTGAGGGGAAAGACAAGCGTCAGTGCCAGGCGACCAGCGGCCAGGGCGCTCTTCACTGTGCCCACTCAAATGCGCTTTGCCAAAAAAACCCAGAGCCTAGCCTGGCCATCTGCTCCAGGTCGGCCTTCTCCCCCCAGCTCTAATGCCACCGCTCCAGACCCGAGATGGCCACCGGGTGCCTGGGGAACCCTCAGGCAGCGAGTTGGGCATCTGAAGCTAATGTCACCACGCTCGTTTAATTTTCACGCTCTCATCGCCCCGTTGTGCCGGGGTGGCTACTGCTACTTGGCAGCCACCTCCCAGAGGCGGGCTGGGAAAACCAGCCAGGCCCAACTGCCTGCTGCCTGCACAGGCAGTCAGGAGCTGAGGACACACGCTGGGGCTCCGCACCTGCCCACCCTCCCGCCGTGTCTCCCCTCCTAGTTCCTCGAGGAGGCAGAGCGGCAGAGTAAGAGAAACTCCTAACCAACACCTCAGTTTCTGCCCCAATGCACTGAGGAGCTGACAAAAGGTGACGGACGGAGCATTCGAACACCAGAAATCCTGCCAGCTGCTACCCCCATCAGCCCACACTGGCACTGCCAGGGCCTTTGGCCCCAGAGGGCAGTGCAGGTACAGCGCCAGCTTTCTCTGACCCAGGGTGCTTGCTGGTGCGCTCAACGAACCTGGCTGGCAATGCTCTGCCAGGTGGCACAGAGGGGCAGGGCAGGGGGGCTTCGTGTGGCCTGTAACCTGCCCCCACAGCTGTGCCACTCCAGCACCTACACTGGGCCCGGCCAATGGCATTTCCCTTAGAAAGGTCAGAGGGTCCGCTAGAAGCCTCAAGGCAGCTCCCAGCAGCTCCAGAAAAGTTTTGGTGACCACGTGGTCATCCATAAACCACCACTGACAGCCATCCTAGGGGGTGACAAGAGACTCAGCTCCAACTCTGTCACACCTGCCTGGATCTGGGCCTGCGGCCCACACAGCAAGGCCAGATAACCCAGCCTAGCAGTAAGTAGACGATCACCAGCTTCTGTGGCAGTCGCAGTGGCATTTCCTTGTGGCGACAGAGTCCTTTCCTCAGACCCTGAGCTGTCTTTCCTGCCAATCTTGTACTGGGGAGTGACAGAGTGGAAGTGCGACATGGGGGTGGGGGAGGCTGAGTGGAGACTGGGCGGGCAATAAATGGAGCGCACAGACCGAACAGGTAGGGGCAGCACTTCCTGCTTACCCTGGAGCCCAGGAACGTCTCAGATGGCCAACAAACCCCTTCAAGGCCAAGACTGACCCTGGAGACCCATCAGCTAGCACTCCACTGTCCAACAACCAGGAGCCCGACCGGTGCGCCATGCCGGCACACGCGTGCCCTCAGTCCTAGACAGCCCGCCCAAGGGATCCGCTTGTGTGCGAAGGCTCTCTGGCCGTCCCAGCTACCCGCAGCCACATACCAAGTAATACTTCTTGCTTTTGGGTGTGTACTCTGGGTCCCACTCTTCCTCCCGGCTTCTCTTCTGGAAGTCGTTGTTGCTGTTGTTGTTGTTGTTACCGGAGTAGTTGCCTCGGCCCCAGCCTCTCCCTCGGGCTCTGAATTGCTGTGGCAATAACCGGGGAGAAGGAACAAAGAGCCAGTGAGGAAGGGGGCTGGGCGCTCCCTACATGTGTCCACACTTTTCTGGCACAGAAAGGACAGACAGCTGTCCTCCTGTCACATGCTGTCGACTCGTTTCTGGCCATTCCCCTTCTGCTCAACTCAGGGCTAGGGCCTTGACAGAGGCGAAGGAGCCTCCCTGTGGGCAGCAGGAGGGACGGCGAGGGAGGAGGGCTAAGACCAACCGCATGAAGAGCTTTCTGGCTAAGTGGCCAAGAGCAGGAGAATACCCACACCTGGAAGGAGGCCTGGAGAACGCGGGGTGGGGGTCAAGGAGCCTGGGTCTGTAAACTAGATTACTTATGGAGAAGCAACAGAAGCAGCACTCAGAGGGACGTATCAGAGCTGGAGGGGACGGGGCCCAGGGGTGCTGAGGGAGAGCGAGCTTACGAAGGCTCCTCGAGCTCTGCCGCCGCCCCTCTCGCTTGGACCCACGAAGTCCTTGGTCCCCAGCCTCGATTTGTCGAAGCCCGTGGTGCTCTCTTCCCTCTCCTCTGCTTCCTCGGTGTACTCTTCTGCTTTGTAAGAGTGAGATGACTGCGAGGAGGAGGAGGAGGATCTGGACCGGTCTCGTGTTCTCCGGTGCTTCCTGTGATGGGGGAAGAGCCCGGAAATCAATACGCCTCTGGGCGACAGCCCCTGGCTGGGGCCGCGGACACGGACAGGCAGCACTGGTGACTGTGAGGAGTCACCGCCTTGTGAGAGATGGAAGGTGCACAGCCTAAAGACACCCTGCTCGCCCCACCAGGGGCGCTCCCTTCCCAGGCTGGACGCTCATGTTCAGTGACAAGTGTACATGTCCCTGAACCTGATGTCTCTCTGGTCAAATTAAAATACATGAATGAATAAGTAAAACTCAAAGGAGAAAAAAAAAAAGAGTTCTTGAAAACCGTAGAGTAATATACTAACAAAAACAGACAAGTTTCTTTTTTCCTTGCCTGGAACTACCTGAGGAACACGGGCAGGCAGAGAAGAAACCAGCTGCCGCTCCAGCAGCTCAGTGTGTGAAGCCACGTGACGGCAGAGGGAGGAGGCCTGAGCGCTCCAGACAGCTCCAGGCCTGGGCCAGAGGCTCACACGTCTGCTGGCACTTTGCTTACTTTTATTTCGCACAGGGCCTGGCTCCAGGGACTGAATAAGTGATGCATTTAATCATTTTATGCTGCCGTAACAGGCATGCGAGAATTAGCAATATGGTAACTCAGGGTTCTCTCCCCCACTCTACAGGTGGGGGAGTCAGGGAACCGGGTGAGCAGAACCTGGATCCAATCCTAGCTCTAATTATACCACTGCTCCACAGCCACCTCCCACGGAGCTCAAACAGGTTGGATTATTAAACCTAGAACCTGGCGCAACTCCTCCCAGAGTTATTTCCCTTCCTTCCCCTTCATCTGGGGAAAATTACAGGCCAGGACAAACTAGCTTAATTTGGCATGTCACTATCTGTGTACAGAGGTCGGAGCCAGCGCCGCCGTGTGTGTTGGAGGCGGAGCAGGCTACTGCCTGCCCCCAAGGTGGCAGGAAGGCCAGGCTCCCAGAGGCAGGTAGACCCCAGGAGAAGGTGGCCAAGCACCAGCCACCTGTCACTGGACTTCCTTTCCTCACCCTCCTTCAGCAAACCTCTGCCCTGCCCATTTGCAAAAGTATCTATCCATAAAAAGAAGAAATCTAAGTTATCATAGGATTCTTAAAACTCAGATGTGTAACTCTGACCTTACTAAAGACAGTGGTATTTTAAGAGGTTTTTTTTTTTTTTTTTTTTGGGAGAGATTTTCACTGTAGGGCGCGTGCGCTCGCCAGACAGACAGAGAGAGACATAGAGACAGAAAGTGAGAAATCACCCCCCAGGGGGGATGGTCACGCCGCAATCCCTTCTCCTCCATTCTCCTCTCGGGATCTTGGGCACGCACGCACACGCGCCCAGCGTGAATTTTAAGCCACCGGGTCCGGGACACGAACCGCGGTCGACTACGTGGGAATCCAGTGACATAGCCATTACGCTAACTGCTGGTTCCCGTTTTTTTTGTTTTTTTGTTTTTTTTTTTTTTAAAAAAAAGAGACTCAAAAGGCCTCAAATTTGAGTTCCCGAATAGCCTCTCTTTAGTTGTTGCAACCTAGTTAAGACCTTCATCAGTTATGTAAGAGGTCTTGAAAACTGTGGGGCAAACAGGTAGCATGGTGGTTGATGTGCTGGACGCTCCCACCACATGACTGACCACGGTTCGAGTCCCGGATCTGGTGGCTTGCTTTCTCCAGCACCCCCCCAATGTCTCTCTGGTCAAAGTAAAATAAATGAATGAATAAATAAAATCAAAAGAAAAAAAGAGTTCTTGAAAACTATAGCTTGATATACTAACAAAACCAGGCAATTATCTTTCTCTTCTTGCCTAGAACTGCAGAATACTAGGGTTGCAACAAACCTGTTCTGGGTCACAGCAAGTCAGAGGTAGGCATGTGTGCCACAGAGAACCACAGCTGTGCAGCCGCGACCCTGAACGGGGCGAGGGGTTCTGCTCCCTTCCTACCAGCTGCAGGGCTGAGGACTACGGTGACACCATGTCCACTCCCCGCCAGATTATCAGGTTCCTATCTGTGGGCAGCCCTGCACTCTGCCAGGCTTCCTAATGCCTAACTCGGTGGCATGGAAGGCCGAGAGGACACAGACCTGAGCTGTGATGTCAACCAAGACTGTGAGATCTGAGCCCAGTCACTGAGGCTGGCTCCGGAATCTCCCAGAATGGGCACCACACCAGCTGTTCAACTCATCTCAAAGGGTTAGTCTCAGAAACTGGGCATGAAAATGCTTGCCAACTGGAGGCTAGAAACAGCAGCAGAGTGCACCTTCTTACGGGAAGGTATGGGGCTTCAACTGTCACTGCCAACCAGACGGGACTGAGAAGCCACGGAACTTTCAAACATGTAAACAGAAACATCAGGACCTTGGTATGAACGTTGCCCTGCCCAGTTCAACAATGCTACCTTTGTTTGAGGACTATCTGGAACACCTCTCTTAGAACGGTCTGTGAAACTAGTTTAAAAGGCATTTAAGACCAATAACCTTGGTCCTCTCTAGTTCCATTCCATTTCTTTAACCAAGCAGTATTTGAGTAATTTGTATTTGAGTAATGACTTTGAGTAATTTCTAAAATATAACCTCCCCAGGAAAATCTGCAATAAAAAATAATTTTTTTGGGGGGAGAGATTTTTGCTCAAAGGTGTATGCCCTCACCAGAGAGGCAGAGAGACAGAAAGCAAGAAATCATCCCCCAGGGAGATGGCCAATTGCAATCCCTTCTCCTCCATTCTCCTTTTGGGATTGTGAGCATACACACAAGCACACACACGCTGTCCAGTGTGAGTTTTAAGCCACCAGGTCCAGGACTAAACTACAGTCAACTATGTAGAACATGGGAGTCCAGTGATGTAACCATTATGCCACAGCTGGTACCAAAAAAGAACGCTGAAAACAGAACAGGGACCAGCCAGTTCCGTGGTGTTACAGTGATTGGATCCCACCTGGCTGACCAAGCCGCCTGAGTCCCAAACCCGGCAGCTTGAAAAACGGGCTGGACACATGTGTGTGCGTGCCCAAAATCCCAAGAGGAGAATGAAGGAGAAGGACTGTGGCATAGCCAACCCCCTCTGGAGGCGGGGGTACTTATCTCTCTTCTCTGTGTCTCTCTGGCAAGTACACACACCCTGTAGCAGAAACAAAAATATAAAAATAAATCAAACAAAACAACAAATAAAACAGCAACAAAAAAAATTCTCAAATGATTCTTTACACCAGAGTAAGAGATCAGCTTCTCCCAAAAAGCCTTCCTTGGAGAAGGAGCACACCACCTGCTGTGGGCGTTGTTCTGACCGGGCCCCCCGACAGCTGCACAGTGTGAAGAACCTGCACACGCTGCTGGAATTCCCGCCAACGTCCTCCGGAGTGGAGGTCTGGGGGAGCCCACGGGGACGACAGGTCACCTCGAGAGGCTACGTACTTCTGCTTCTTTGATCCTTTGTGAGCTTTCTCAGTTTTCTCAGCTGACCTTTCCCTCGAGTGGCTCGAGTCTCGGGAATCCACTGACTCTCTTGATTTGCCTCGTTTAAGATCTCTCTCCTTATGTTTTTTACGACGTTCAATATCAAGGCGCAGATCGACAGGATCATCTTTGTATTTTCCCTCACCCTGCCGAAAGAGGAGTCAAAATTAAGGTTTTTGAGATTCAGGGATACCAACTCAACTACCCCACAAACTGGTCTCTACCAATGGGGGGCGGGCGGGGGTGGAGGACGGGTGGGAACGTGAGACACCTCATGCAAACCCGGAGGGATACAGCATGTCCCACCGCAGCTACCTCATGAGGACCCTCACAGACCTCACCTCGCCCTCTGAAACGAGGACGGCCTCCTGGAATTCTACGTGCTGATCTCGCCGTGTCCTCTGGCCCAGGAACAACAGTGGCTAGTTTGGGAGCCGAAAGGCCAAAATCCACTCTGAAGGTGATGAGTCACCACTAGGACTGGAAACACTCACCTTCCCACCTACACCAGAGCAGCCACTCACGGCGTCTCTGCTACCTGGAGTTATCTCTGAGTGCTGGGAGATAACAGGCCTACGCTGCCTTATACTGAGCGATCCCACTACAGAGGGACATCAGAACCTTTAACAGCAAACTCATAAAGTGATGACAGAGGGATAGGTTTCTTCAAAAAGACAGAAACAAGAGTACTTTTCTGCTAACTTCCTACAAGTATGAGAAGCGGCCTGCTGCAGACACAGCCTGAGTCTAGCAGCAACAACAGTGCGTGCGGCCCAGCCGGCACGGCAACGGCTTCAGCCACTCTTGCCTGGCACTCGGTGAGGGCAAAGATGCAAGCAGCTTTGGGCACTATACACCAGGTCTGCCTCCTGGAAGCAGACCTGCCCAGGGAAGGAACAAACAGTTCCCCATAGTATTAACTTTTGCCACGTGAACTCAACTTCCTGTTGAAATAACATTTACTTCTAATGAATGGAACTGCTAAGAAGTTGTTTATTATTTTATAACTTCATTCATTTCTGGGAGAGTGGATGAACCTCTGCATCTTCCTCAAAGACAAATGCAGCTGCTGCTGGCTTGGGCAATACAGACAGCCCCCCCTGTGAGCTGGCTTTCTGCGGCACGGAGGACGCGCTGAGATCTCTTCTGAGGTTTCACGTGGCTAGCGCCAAGTGACCAGCACTTGGGGAGAGAGGCGTGGAAGAGAAGAGAGACCATATACGAGTGTCTCTCATCACATTCAAACAGCAAGAACAATTTGTCTGGGAGACTTGAAAGTTAGTTTTTTTAGAAAAGTTTTCAACATCAAAGGAACATCCATTTCTAATTTTAAATTTCAACTGTTTGTGAATAAATGCTAATAAACGCTAAGATTTTAGAAAACGCAGCCTACTTCTTTCACCACTGCACACAAGCTTTAACCCCTGAACGACAGTGTTTCCGTGCACATTACTGTGAATGTAGCTAGGCTGGCAAAGTAATGCTTAGCTTTAAAGTGACAGTAACCAACAGATGACAGGTATGGCACAATGTTAGGAAAACCCGGACCAGCTGTTTAAAACAGGCTACTAAAGTTAAGGTATGAATATCTCACTGTCTTCTGACATGCATGTCTTTCTGAAATCATGGTTGGAAATAGTGCATGTATACAGTTGATTTAATAATACTTACAAGCAGAAAAATATCACAAAAAGTTTCTTCTCTCATCATGGGCACTTGTTCCAAAACTCCTCTCTTTTTTTTCTCAATCTCACCTCAATAGACTTTGGGGTCATTTACCATATTCTAACCACTTCACAAAGGTTGTTGATACATTTAATAAAAATTAACCCTTTGTAGTTCATTTTTAGAATTATGCCCATCCTTAAAAGAAAAACACAAACTTAAGTAGAGAGTAATTTAAACAAACACATTTCTGTCAAGTTCATGCCCAACGCACTCATTTGTTGGATTACGGATTAAAGCAACAGTTCACCTTGTAGCCAGGTTCCCGGGGACTTTTCATCTCATCATGAGCCAAACCATGTTTTCTGAATGTACTGGGGGAAATGTCTATCCTCCTAAAATTGAAAGCACAAACTGTGTAATACTCCATAATACGGTGCTGTAATATTCTAGCATCTAAATAGCAGATTCATAGGCACTCTTTTTTTTTTTTTTTTTAAATTAGAGGCTTTGCCTTAGGGTGTGCGTACTTCCCAGGGAGAGACAGAAAGAGACAAGACAGTGAGAAGGAAAATGAGAAATCACCCCAGAGGAAATAGGCATGCCACAGTCCCTTCCCCATTCTCTTCCCAGGATCCTGTACGTACACGCACACACGCGTGTGAGTTTCAAGCCATTGGGTCTGGGACTCAAATCACGGCTGGTTACGTGGAAGTCCAGCAATGTAACCACTACACCATCTGCTGGCCCCAATAGGCATTCTTTTACGTTTCATAATTCACTAGATAAAGAATGTTTAAATATATCTTCACTTACTCCTACGAGTAAGTGTGCACATGTGCACACAGACACACACACCTTCTCTTAAAGAAGTTAGCTGTGTCCTTCCCTCACAGTACTGCTACAGGCAGGAAGCAGACTCGCCTACAGCCATGCCTATAATCTCACCTACAGCCCTATCCACGCCCTGCTTACTTAAAGGACAGTTTTCCCCTTGACCATACATGAACCCACTACCTGCCCTAAAAGATTAGTCAGGGAAGAAATGACGGCTGGGAATGCTGCGCGTTCTCAGATCTCAAATTCAAGGCTGCTGGACAAATGTGTCCACCTCCTACCTACCGCGACAGGTTCAGGAGCGGACTACTGAAGAATTAAAGGTCAACTTTGTTTCTAGACGAAAGTCCCTTATTTGCTGAACAGATTCCCTTAGCCAAGTAAGATATTCTTTAAATCGGCCGGATTTTTTAATCCTTTGAAATAATCCTACAGGCTTCCCCTCAACTCCCCGAGCAAATCCCTTCCTAAGAACTGATACATGAACCACATGGGTCTTTTAAGGAGCTGGTGTGTCCTCTACCCACAGAGCCCATGGTGATCTCAGGTCAGCACTGGCCACCTCCCCAGAAGACAGGACTGCATTATAAAACGAGCTGTCTCCTTCAGGCCCCAAGCGAGAGGCTGCAGTCCGTGAGGTGTGCCCTCTGCACTGTCCAATACACATGACTACAGCTTAGCTGTCCTAGAGTCTGTTCCCCTTCACTGTGCATGCAAGGTGCATCTGAATTTAACAAGACAAGCATAATATCTAATGGGAAGCCTCTTACTAAAACCTCTGGAAAGACTGAGGTTCTTACCTGTGTATTTCTGGGCTTTTCTTGTTTTTAGCTGCTTCCTGCTCAGTTCCTCTTTTTAAGTACTTAGTAAAGCGTTCATGCAAAGTCATTCCTGAGGACCCAAAGTGATGCTCTGCGGGATTCAAAGAGACATGCATCATGCTATCAAAGGCAGAAATGACACTCAACTCTGCGTGAACCTGCAGCCACCAAGGTGTAACTGAAGTAGTCACATTCACATAACACACTGAAGTGAACAGGACAGCCGGTTTAGTCTCAACCCAGTATCGGGCCTTGGATTTCCACTATGGCTTCCTGTCTCCGCACACGGGTACTAAGAGATACTGGAAACTCTTGAAGCACATCACTGTCTCTTGCTGGAGTTTAAATTTCAGATGGAACAAAACTGGCCCAACCCATATCTACAGCACACCTCCTGGCCATTCCCCAATCTGCCCACCTCCACTGGCACAGCGGATGGTAGAATAATTTGGAGGAGAAATTCACAACACAAATACGCAAGAGATTGCTAAAAAGGTAAAGCCACGGGTGCTGGAAAAGCCATTTTCCATGCCTAAGCTCTCACGCATTTTCAACCTTCGTGCTGAGGATTTCACCTGTTCTCACGATCACAGGTCACCAGCAGTTAAAAATGTTTAGCTCTGTAATTAAGACACAGAAACTTCTCCCTGGAAGGAATCTCCTTCAAGGTAGGCCCCAGCTTCAAAGGCCCTTCAGATAAGATAAACAGTCCCCAGAAGCTCCCTGGAGGAAGTCTGCAAGTGTGGAAAAGGGAGTCTAGAACAGACAGGGCCAAGACTGACCTTTGACATGGTGAACGATGGTCACAATATGCTGAGCGAACAGCTCCGAGGGGCTGCGCTGAGACTGGGCCGACTGTATGTGCTGGAAAATGGAGCGGAACTCCTGTTCCTTTTTGTTGCTATGGACTAGATCCCGACAAAGCTTGCGTTCCTGAGCCAGTAAGCCACTGGGTCTGAAAAAAGAAACACAGAGGCCAATGTAACGAGATAAAAAATTAATTGCCAGAGAGCACATGAGCTTGAGAGAGAGAAAGAAAAGGGGGAAGCCCTCCCCCAAAGTGGTGCAACTGCACCACAAACCCTGCTCTATTTTTCCATCCTGTCAGGATTTTGGTCATCACACACGCACATGCATCAGGTCTGTTTTCTAAACTGTCAGGCCAGGATTTGAATCACAGTCAGCCATATGGGATCCAGCTCACTTAAGTATAGGCAACAGGGCCAGCCCTAAAGTCAGAACACTTAAACCACAAAAATAAAAAATGTTTTGGGGACGGCAAGTGGCATGGTGGCTAAGGTGCCAGAGTCCCACATGGTTGACTATGGTTTGTACCCTGGATCTGGTGGCTTGCTTTCTTACTTCCCCCCTTCTCCCTGTCTCTCTGATAAGCATGTGTGCCCTGTAGCAAACTTTAAAATAATGATAATAGTAATATAGGGCCAGCAGGTGGCGTGGTGGTTAAGGCTGGACTCCCACATGGCTGACCATGTTCAAGTCCTGGACCTGGTGTCTTGCTTTCTCACTTTCCCTCTCTGTCTCTCTGGTCAAATTAAATAATGATGATGATGATAATTAAAAATAAATAATCATTCTTTTGGGGTGTGCGTGCGTGTATGTGTGTGTGTGTGCAAATAAAATTAAATAAATAATTCTTAAAAACACACAGTGCTTTTTTCCCCAGGGTCAATACTCCGTTTTCTTTTCCTACCGAAGTTCTAAGTAACAATGACACACCATTACTACAGAAAGAAGTACCCCAAAATCTCTTTTATCTTTTTTCATGGGAATCTTCAAGTGCGGTAAGTAAAGTGTTAAACCTCAGTGATTCTGTTTCTGGGGCCATTGGTGGTTTTAACACATACACAACAAATGAAAATGTTTGTTTTGTATCTTTAAAATTTGCTATAGGGTATGTGTACTCACCCAGAGAGAAACGAAGAGGTAAAGTGAGAGAGCACCCCCCCCACACCCCAGGGAACAGTCACACTGCAATCCCATCTCTATTATCCTCCTCTTGGGATTCCGGGCACACGTGCACACGCACCAGTGTAATTTTTAAGCCATCAGGTCCAGGACTCGCACTGCACAGATGGCCATGTGGGATCCAGCTGTCCCACCCACCACCGCCACTGGCCAGTCTCAAACGAAAAGGTAGTTTAAAAGACCCACTAGCCTGTCCAGCTAAGGCAGTTCAGCGAGGCGACAAGAGAAAGCTAGAGTGGGACGTGGCTGGAATGCCACTCGAGCAGCGGCTGGGTAGTTTGCACCATGTGAAAAAAAGTCAGCCTGGGCCAAAAGCTGAGGTGGAGTGAGCTGAGATTGGCCTCCCCCCAACTCTAAAACTGTTATTTTTGTTTATATTCAAGATCTGCAAAATAGACTTTAATGACACAGGTAAGAATCAGATATGGATTCTGGGTGGTTTAACAAGGAAAACGCTTTTTTTTTTGGGGGGGGGGAGAGATTTTCACTGTAGGGCGTGTGCGCTCTCCATACAGACAGAGAGAGACATAGAGACAGAAAGCGAGAAATCACCCCCCAGGGGGGATGGTCACGCCGCAATCCCTTCTCCTCCATTCTCCTCTCGGGATCTTGGGCACGCACGCACACACGCCCGGCGTGAGTTTTAAGCCACCGGGTCCGGGACACGAACCACGGTTGACTACGTGGGAGTCCAGCGACATAGCCATTACGCTAACTGCTGGTTCCCAGAAAACGCTTTTTAAACAAATTTTGCCATAGGGCATGTGCACTCATGAGACAGAGAGCGGGAGGGAGAGTGCGCCCCACAGGGCATGGTCTGTGCCCCATGACGCAGACCCTTTTCTGCTCCTCTGCCCCATCAGGACTTCAGACACTCACACATACATGCCCGGTGTGCGTGTGTGTGGATTTTAAAAAAGAATTATTTATTTAATTTATTTATTCATTTATTTTAATTTGACCAGAGAGAGAGAGAGAAGGCAAGTTAGAAAGCAAGCCACCAGGTCCAGGACTCAAACCGTGGTCAGCTATGTGGGAGTGTCCAACGCTTTAACCACCACACTACTTGCTGGTCCCCCCACCCTGCCCCAGTGTGTTTTTTAAGACCCTAGAGCTGGGACCGAAACTGCACAGGTAACTATGTGGGATCCATCTTCCTTAACTACCAGGCCATGGGCAGACCCAGAAAAGACATCTTAAATGCACATGAAAAGAAACAGGATTTCAGGGAGGAGGCTGATGGGGGACCCAGAATCGAGGAAAGCAGGTCCCTAGAGACTCAACAACTCTTCACACTCCAGCAGTACCACCCCCGAAGCAAACCCTCACTGCCACACCTGCCACTGCAGAGGGGGACATGAGGACACGAGCCCTGACACTGGGACAGCAGGGGACATGCAAGAGGGACGTCCACCAGGAGAGGGGTTAAGAGACGTACTCAGGACACTAACGCCCTGAGAAGCAAAAAGGAGGCCATCTCACCGCGCAAGGTCCTCATCGAAGGAGTCCATCCGGACACTGACGTGGGCCTCGCGAGTGATGGAGAAGGAGGACTTCCCTGAGGAAAAGTCTCCTTTGGCTCCCAGCTTGTCACGGCTCTCGGAGGTCTTTCTTGGGGGAGGCGATGAGCTTTTCTCCTGGACCGCTTTGTAAGCAGTCACTCGGAAATTCTTCTCGGGCACAAAGCCCCTGTGCCCGCTCTCGGCTCTCTTGGTCCCTCCCCGGTCCTCCTTTTTGGATCTCTCTGTGAAAGACTCCTCCTCCAGCTCCTCTGCTTTCCTCTGCTTCTCCTTCCCTGGAGGCGCGTACACCAGGCCCTCCCACTTGCCGCATTTCTCCTCCTCCTGGCTCTTGTTTGAGCCCGATATCACTTTAGACATGAATCTGGGTTCATCGCCCATTTCGGACTCCTTCCTCCCCTTTGCCTTGTCCTTCTCCTGGTCATCCGTGTCGTCCTTATGGAAGTCGGTCATCTTCTTCTCAAAGTCATCCCGGAGCTTATACCTTTTGGGAGATTGGCTGCCCCGGAAGGGCTTCTCAGAATCAGTTTTGGGACCAAATAGATCGGATTTCATTTTTGCATCACCCAAACCTGTGTCAGAGAAGTTCCCTTTCTCTTTCATTTTCTCTTTATCGGTACTGGTTTGTTTCTGCTCCTTATCCTTCCCATTCTCTGTCTTCTGATCATCTAGATACCTAGTCACAAAGCACAGGGAGACACACAAGAGGCTCCGTCAGCAGCTGCTCTAAGATGGCGCCATGTGGTCTGTGGGTTTCGATTCTCGGAACGAACTAGACCTATGGATTCCACTTTTACCACAAGAAATTTCACTCGCCACCAGTTTCAACTAATTTCTGAAAAACTGCCATTCATAGATCTATGAACTTGAATTTAGGAGACATGGAGTTGTATCTTACAAAAGCAACTAAAAAAGGAGCAAGACAAGTATTTTTATGATACTAAGAACAAAAACCTACTTACCTGTAATGTGGTCTAGGGGAAAACCAACAAACTAGGGTCTTACCCAACCTTCACTCAGTCACTTAAAATCTGCTTTCAGCAAAGTTAACAGAATATTCAACTTTGGACTGTTTTGCCTTTATACAACTCACATTTGGAAATACTAGTCTCAAAAGAGACTTTGAATTTGCTTCGAGTCACCTAGAAGATCTAAATATGAAATATACTGCGAACACAAATAGAAACAAAACACACGTTAATGGGAGCGAGGGTAACAGGCAAAAATCATCATTCTCTCTTCTTATGGAAAAGCAGAGCTCCTGTTCAAATCTCCTGATTAAATCCACAGTCCTGGCAAGGAGCAAAACTTACACTCTAAAGCAGACTTACAGGGAGGAGGTACAGACTCTGAGCGCCTCATCTGTACCTCGGAGAAAGCCTGATCACAGAAGAGCCACATCAACATGGAGGAGACTCAAGGGGAGCAGGACATCAGAGACTATGCCAGGAAGAGAAAGGAAGGAAGGACACCGTCTGCTGGCAAGTCCCCGCTGACTGCACCCGCTCCCAGAGCGACTTCCCTGGGGGCTTTCTGCCATCCCGATCCATCCAACCACGTAGACACTTACGTTCCAACCCACCACATTCCCGGGGCAGAAAGACGAAAGCACTACCGTGTCTTCTCCTAACACACGGCCCAGCGGCTTCTACCGGGACACACACCCAGCCCGTGGTCTAAAACCAGGCCTTCCTGGACTAAGCTTGGCTTACTCTGCCCAGGCTTCTCAACTGCACGGTGAGGGGCAGCTCTTCACGACGGGCAGATGCAGAACAACACAGTTAGATAGTGGGTCCTACAGGGTCAGAACAGCTCCACTCGTTCTGCCGCTCGTTCTGGCAAAAACCACATTTTTTTGATAACTGACCCACAATCTCTACCGTTCACAAATATCTAACTGGCAGAATCTGAGACAAATTTTAAATGTGAAAACATCAGTGCAGAGTAGTCTAAAGACACTTTATGCTGGGACCTGCAGATGGCATAATGGTTACGTCACTGGACTCCCACATAGTCAACCAAGGTTTGAGTCCTGGACCCAGTGGCTTAAAAGTCACACCGGGCACGTGTGCATGTATGCCCAAAATCGTGAGAGAATAACAGAGAACAGATTGTAGCATGCCCATCCCCCTAGGGGGTGATTTCTCACTTTCTGTCTCTCTGGAGAGTGCACATGCCCTATAGCAAAAATCTCTCTTCAAAAAAGAAAGAAAGAAAGAAACTTTATGCTGCAATACAAATTCAGGAAGGTAAGGTCATGCATTCAACATTTGCTAATGAGAAGTTCAGGAAGTGAGGGTCACCTCATTAGCGCTGCCCAGAGCTCTGACTTAAATCACATTACCATGGAGCGGCCAGCTGGCAAGACACACACCAGGCGGGGAAACCAGGTACTTGCCTCTTTGCATAGGATGCTCCTCCTGAAGCAGCGCCCTCCTCCTTCTGAGACGAGCCATATGTGGAGCCAGTGGCTGGGGGCTCTTACCCACACGGCTCTTTTTGGGTGGACACAAGGACCCAGAACCATGGCCTAAACCTTGGTGTGTCCCAGACTGATACCC